CATAGAAACAAGTTGTTGGTGACAATCAGTTGTCTGTTTATATTTCTCAACTTCTCTTCCTCATTCTTTCATGTGTCATAGACATGGCTCCTTGGAAGTAGACAGGGTTATACTATGGCTTGTCATTTCCAATAATGCAGCATAAAATACATAATATTTAAGGCTCAAATGGTTCATGTTTATACAGTTTACCTGTCAAACTGTAAATTACTTTTTAAAAACTTAAGATGTCGTTCCAAATACTTGCTTAGCTACCCTAACATGATTTTGGAGGATGTCCGGATTCAACCTCCAATGCTCAACATTGTACTTTCATTTCAACCTATAAACTTCCACTCTGCTTAGTGACTTTGAGCTCATCCTGAGATGCCCTAATAAAAATATTGCTGTAATGGGTTTTTTATTTATTTTTATTTTTTGGTCAATTTTTAATGACTATGACAAATAGAAAGTTAAAAAGGTTCCAAATAAAACTCTTCATTCATCAGTTCACAATGTTCTGTGATGCTGATTAAAGTGTAAGAACCTCTTCACACAATTGGATGGCCAGTGCAAAAATTATATGGTACTCAAATGGTTCTGTGAAAAATTGGCACTTGGTATATGGAATCTTCCAAATGCGTGAGTCTAAGGGGAATACAAACAAATTCACAAAAAGTGTTATGAAAAGATTAACAGGAGAGCACGCTCTATTGGGTCAGCTGTAACTATCTGCCAACACTTCAGCTTCTATTCTCCATGGGATATTTGAGTCATCAGCTATTCCCATTCTGGCTTCACCAAGGAAAGAGGTAATATAGCAAGGATGGGACCAATTGCTCCTTCCAGAAACATTTTCCTCAATCAGTCACTGTGAGACTGTATACTGTATATCATGTTTAAAAGCTGCCTCTGAGTTTTTCGCCTTCTTTTCCCCTTATGATTGTTTTTGCATTTTGTGTTATGCCTGTAGACAGAATAACCTAGAGAAAAAAATGACTCTTTAATATAGTACAACAAAACAGATAAAATAACTCGAAATCAGGAGATTGGTGGCACCTTTTCTGATTAACACATTTTATTAAAAGCATAAGCTTTTGTGAGCTGCAGCTTATGCCTTTTACAAAACGTGTTACTTGGAAGTGGTACTACCAGGCTTTTGATTTTAACTACCATAGATTAAGATGATTTTCTTCCTGTACCATGGGTATCAAACTCGCCACGTCACATGACGTGTCACGACATATCATAACTTTTTTTGCATTGCTGGAGCTGGGGTGGGTGCGGTCTCTGTATGATGCAACCGGCCTGCGGGCCGGCAGTTTGACACCTTGTCCTACACTGTATAAAATGATCTGACAATTTATGATCAATATCTGAACTGGCTGTATAATTCTATCATGGGAAAAATTAAATCACATATTCCTTACATGCCATGATATGTTATTTGGCTATATGCAATGGTGACCACGGATCAGCTTTCACTAAATTTTCTTATCATTGAAATATAATATTCCTTACCCAAGCAACTGTGATTTTTTCAGCCTACTGTCCTCCAGTTATGGTACATCTTTGGCTATTTTATCATTTGACTTCCCAGATAAACATAAACTTCTCCAACGTTTAAACTGAAGTTGTACTTTCAGACAAAAGCATGATTTTTCCCTATTGCAAGACCATACATTCTAGACATTGACAATGATCAGTACAACTCCATTTAAGGGCATCTGCAGGAAGTAATTGGCAAAGGATTATTGCAGATTTACACAATCAGAACCCCTCATAGCTGGCTCAGGAATTCTGGAAGTTGAAGTCCACAGGTCATAAAGGGGCAATAGTTCCCTACCCCTGTCTTACTGCTTCAGAGGTGAAAGAGATTCTGACTAGATGGCTTGTCTTCATATATTGAAGATGTGCTGAAGCCAAATCTCTTTTTTCCTACCAACCAAATCCCTATTTGTGAGGATAGAGATGAAGTGGGGGTGGAAATACATGCTTCTACAGAGCTGAGACTGGCTGCCATGGAAATTCCTGTATATTCTCTGCTGATCCTAATTCCCTCCTCACAATCACCCCTCTGTTTCAAACATGTCAGAGGCCACATTTAGATAAAGTCATGGCTGATTATAATTATTGTTAGTTGTATTTGTTTTAGTGATATTTACAAATCTTGTTCTCATTTGAGCTTCAGGAGATAGAAGGAAGAATTAATGACTGACATGCATGTGTCGGTTATTTGCATTAGACCAGCAAGGTTTTTGCTTCAACCTTTTTTAAACAATAGCAATTAAAAAGTTCTCCCACCTACCCAGCCCACTCACGTCTAATAACACAGTTAAAACCGAAGAAAGGTTGAGGTGAAACATTTTTTGTATCTGTTCTGCTGGGGGGAGGGAGGCTTTTCATATGTCTCTGACCAGAGAAATGATATGTACCTCAGATATAATTTGGTACTTGGTTCTGTTGATAGATCTTGGGACCATTTTTTTCAGAGGCCATTCTCTCTTGAGGCTTTACAAAGTGCTGTCAATGAAGTCTTACTGAAATGGAGTCATCCTTCTATATTTGTGTGTGATGACTTAAGCCTCCCAATCTAATTTAATCTTTCTTCTACTGATTATATGTCATCAACCTGGTGTCAACTCTTAGCAACCACATAGATTGATTTTCTATTTTGTTCATAACAATCTGTCCACCACCTGATCCTTTAGATCTTCCAACAGTGTACCCATCACTGCTATAATTGAGTCCATGCAACTTGCTGCTGGTCATTCTCCCCCCCCCCCATTTTGCTCATTTCAGCTTAATGTACTTTTTTTTTTCTCTTCCAATACTCAGCCTACATTGTGAAAATCTACAAGTCCATGCATTTTCTTGACAAGGTTTTTCAAAAGTGGTCTGCCATTGCCTCCTTCCTAAATTTGAGACAAAGTGACTGTCTCAAGGCACCCAGTTGGCTTTGTGCCTAAGATGGAACTAGAACTTATGCCTTAACCATTATACCTTGAGGTTGAAAATATTTCTTCCAAATCATTTTTTCTGGAACGGGCTCTCATATGCTATTTAAGAGAATTTAATAATAATATATTCAAATATGACAATTTGAAGTTGGTCATTTGTTCCATCTATGCCTTGAGTAAGACCTCTAGGTTGATTTGTTTGAAGATCCATTTGTATGTCCCTGGTATTCTCAGAAGTTTTCTTTCCACAGCAAAGTTCAAACACTTTGACTGTCTTTCAAAATCCAACTTTCACTTACAGTCTGTCACAAGAAAAACCATTGCCTGTACAATTCTGATCTTTTTAGGCATGAACACACATTATGGCCTTTTTAAGACCTTCGTTTCTACTCTACAAGTGCTATCTGTAATGCATTTCTTGACTACTTGTGTCTTTAATATTGATAGTTGATTCTAAAAAGGAGAAGCTGTTCACCACTTATGTATCATCATCATCAATACTAAAGCTGGTTGCTGTACTTATTGTCATGAGATTGGTCTTCTTTATATTTAAACATAATCTTATTTTTTTCACCATTTTTGATTTTGCTTATAAAAGCTTGCATTTGCTTCTATTAAAGTTGCATCATCAGCATAGGGCAAATTATTTTTTTCTTCTATAAGCTAAATTATAGATTACAAGGACTGCAAGGAAGTCATTATTCAACTTAAAAATATTTATTATACCATGGTACCATTTAATTACAAATAAAAATTGATGAGGATAATAATAAAAACAGCAACCTAGTAACCAGCCAGCACATGAGCATTAGTCAGAGATGTTCTAGCATACCACTGTAGACTAAGGTGCTTTCCAGTTAATAATCTGGCAAAACAGGAGAAATGCACTGCATTTTTTTTAAAAAAGTGATATTCCTGGAAGTTAGTATTAGGAGTATGCACACTTTAAAAATGATTTGGAAGAAGTATTTTAAACCTCAAGAGAATGCAGAGTGCAGTATTGTACTGTTCTGTTATTCATTAAAGCCATCTGATGTTGTTTCAGGATTTTGCATAGGCCTGAAAAAGAGGACATCATTTTAGGAATCCCATCAAAGGCATGCTGCTTTAATGATTCCATTTAATAAAGCAATGGGGTTTTTTTTCCAGCAGATCCAGAACATTGAAAAAATATGTCTGTGCTTTAATGAATAGCAAAGAGGCACTTTGCACACATGAGTTCCAAAGCATTTCTTCCAAATCAGGCTGAAGTGTGCATTGCCATAGATTAAAAATTGTTTTAGATGGCAAGCCAACTTGAGTTCACTGAAAGCAGAAAGAACAGAACCAAGGATCTGTACAATTCAATGAATAAACTACTTTTAGAAGGTTTTAAAATCAACTTGCATCCTGCCAATATTGGTTTAGAATATTATTCAAGCATTGAAATAAAAATCCACAATGTGTATTAGATGCAGTTCTTTATCAAAGTATGACAGTTATGTTCAGAAAAAAAACTTTGCAAACTTCTAAAGACAATTCATTAAATGTTGAAGTTTGTTTGTTTATCAAATTAATATGACATCTCATAAGAAGTGATTCTGGGTGGTATACAACAAATAAAACAATATATAAAAACAATCATTATTGAAAAATCTAAAAATATTTTTTTAAAAAAAACCACCAAAGAGTAAATTAAACACAACGATGGAGCCATTGCAGAATATCATCAGTCCACTAGATCTGATAACGCACTCAGTTTTTGAAGGATTTATGGAACATCAAGAGGGATGGATAGGGAAGGAGGACAATGTTCCATTCAGCAGGAACCAAGGCAAAGAAAGCCTAATCTGCCTGATCTATTGGGGCAGGCAAATGTAGGGGAGGGGAGGGGAGAGGGGAGGGGAGGAGAGGGGAAAGGGGAGGGGAGGGGAGGGCAGAAGAGAGCACCGAACCCTGTGTGGCACCCCCACATAGTAGTGGCCAAGGGTAGGACCTCTCCTCTCTAATCACCAATGGTTGAAATTGAGGAACCAGCACAACACTGTGCCTCCCACTCCCCAAGCTAATCCAAAAGGATACCATGGTTGATGGTATTGAAAATGTCAGAGAGGTCAAGTAGGGCAAAGATGGATACACAACCACCATCTTCCCTTAGCCAGAGGTCATTAGAAAGTGCAACCAATTCTAGCCCATGCCTGGGCCTGAATCCCAAGTGAAAGGAATCCAGATAATCCATTTTTCCAAGATCCTCTGAAACCACCTTGTCAATCATCTTCGCCAACAAAGGAAGGTTAGATATTGTATGAAAATTGTCCAGGAGGGTAGGATACAATGTTGGCTTCTTGAGGATGAGGCAAACCAAAGCTTCCTTAAGAGGTAAAGGAACAACTCCCCTTATTCAAAGATGAATAAATCACTGCTAGAACCCACTCACACAACATTTACTTTTACTAAATGAATACATTTATTTATTTTATTTATTTATTTTCATTAACTTATATGCCGCCCTTCTCCCCATGGGACTCAGGGCGGCTCACAGCATGTTAAAACAATATAAAACATTATCCCCTATAAAAGCCAATTAAAAACCAAATATTTATCGCTGTGTCTTATTAAAATCATTAAAATTGTCCCTATTTAAAATTCACCCTAGGTCAGACCC